AGCCACGGGGAGCATGACGAGGGCATTTGTGGTCTGGGGGCAGCTCTGTGACTGGAGTCAAACGCCTCCCAGCTGCAGCCCTGCCCAAGGAGTTGCCTCTAGAGCTGGTGTTTGGGAGGCTGAAACTTCGCAGCCCCCCGTCCCACAGCTATGTCCGGGCAGCCCAGAAACCCACCAGAGTCACCCACTGACCATCCTATCCCTCTTTACCAGCGAGTCAGGGGAGAAGGTAATCCCAAATGTAATGCTTTAAGATATGAATGATATAGTTTCCCCAGGTTTGATTAAGATTACACTTCTTGCTATCAGTAGGAATGGAGGAATAACAGCCTAAAAATCTCGTACCAGCCACACCAGTGACAATGACTTTGTACATTCAGGTGTGGACTTCTGGTCTTGGTGAAGGAGCGGGGAGCCCGGTGCATGTCCAGGCCTCATGGCAGTGGGGGTACAAGCAGCTACAACTCTGATGGGGACTCCATCCTTCTGAACAGAGGAAGCAGGAAAGGGGTCCTGCTGGGAGAAATCCAGGACAGAGAAGAGCTGGAGAAGACAACCCTACACAGCCCAGCAAAGGCCCCAAGAGCTGAACTGAGGCAGAAAACGCGGCCCACAGCGGGTGACACAGAACTGTGGTCTGGGCGCAGCTGGACCCATCACTTGCAGCTGTAAAATAAAAAAAGAAAGTCAACATTTTCCAGGGGATTTTTAACAAGACCCAGAGCCTACACAACATAATATTGAAAATATTCACGACAGTCCAAGGAATCCAAAATTACTTGACATACAAGGAGCCACAAAAATGCTCAAGAGAATGACAATCCACAGCCCCCCTGTCCCCCAACATGACCCCAATGCTGGAATCATCTGATAAAGATTCTGACATACCTGTTATAAATGTGCTCCATGTGGTAAAGGGAAATACACTTGAAGTGAATGGAAAGATAGAAATTCTCTGTAGAGAAATAGAAACTACAAAAAAAAAAAAAACAACTCAATAGAAACTTTGGAACTGAAAGATAAAATCCCTGAAATTAAAAAAAAAAATCATTAGGTGGGCTTAGTAGCAGGACAGCAGTGGCAGGAAAGGGGACTGAACTTACAGAGAGATCCATAGAAAATTTCCAACCTATGCAACAGAGGAAAATTCAGCCTGAAAAAGAAAATGAACAGAAGCTTAGGGACTCATGGCACGGTAGCAAGAGGTCCACCATTCATGCCACAAGAGTCGCGGAGTAGAGGAGGGAAAACAATGGTGCGGGAAAATAGTTGAAGTGATAATAGCAGAAAATGTCCCAAACTGGGGGAAGGACAAATTTAACAAGCTCAGCAAATCCCAAACAGGCTAAACTGAAAGAAAATGATGCCCAGCCACATTGCAAACAATCTGCCAAGCAACCCCGCCCCCCCCATGAGCTCATGAACCCGAGAGAAAAGGGATGCATTACCTATTGGGAAGAGCAATTCAAATGACCATCACTTTCTCCTCCAAACCGAGGCTACAGGAAGATGTGGAAGAACCCGAAAGGCACATCGCTAAGTAAAAGAAGTCAGTCTGGAAAGGCTGCATACTGTGTGCTTCCAACACAGATATTCTGGAAAAGGCAGAACGACAGACAGAAAAAAGGTGGCTGGGGGTGGGGGTGGGGGGGTGGCAGAGTTCCCAGCAGGGAAGCTACTCTGTGTCATTCTACAGTGAGTCCAAACCACAGAACATACAACACCAAGAGTGAACCCTACTGTAAGCTGTGGTTTTCGTTAACAGTCATAATGTAGCAACTGTGACAAGTGAATGCGGGTGGGGGGGGCGCTCTGAGCCGGGGAGGGGGGAGCGGAGGCACCTCCCTGGACTTCCTGCTCAATTTCTCGGCAAACCTAAGTCTACTCTCTAAAAAGGACTATTAATGAAAAAGAAATCAGGCACAAAATAAACAAGTGCAAACATCTTTTCAAACAACACGGAGGCAGAAGTCAGTGGGACAATGTCTCTAAAGAGGAAGGGGGAGGTGGCCGGGGGCTCCTACGTGTTAGCTGACGTGGCAACACAGAAGCTGAGCAGGACGTGGGAGGAGAGGGCAGAATTTCACAGGCTCGAAGCCACCACCACCAAAGACTCACGGAGGCAAAGCCCCAAAGAGCCAAGAGCTAAGCTGAAATGGAATATGACAAAATGTTGAAGAAGCAGGAAAAGGGAAAGGAGGGGTGGAGCCAGAAGGATGAGCAAAATGAGCGAAACGTCAGACAAAGCCCAGTTCCTTCCACGGGCACGTCGGGGTCAATGCTTAAACACAGCAGTGGACAAGATGACAGCCAGCATATGTTTTCGGAAAACCATTCCACAGCGAGTCAGCGGTCACGTTATCCAGAGGCACACGATGTGGGGAACGAGGGGGTCAGCTCTGCGGCATGTGTGTTCTCGGAGAGGACCCAGAGCAGCAGGAGATGGGCCCTGAGCCAGCTTTAATCCAGACTAGAATCAGTGGGCTCTCAGGACGCGGGGAAACTGGCGCTGGTGCTGTTTAGGGGCCCGTGGGTCTCTGGCCACTGCCCTGGGGGTGCCCTCGCATTCTCCCGTTGGGGGAGCAGCATCCTGGGGCCCCGTGCCCCTCCACTGTGGTGGGGACAAGAGCGGGTTCCCACCACAGAGCTGGAAAGCACAGGCGGCCCCTGTGAGCACCCCCACTTTCCATCCTGAGTCATTTTTGGCTGCGTGAGAACATTCCCTGTCTGGCCATTTGCTGGGGGTGAAACGTCCAGACTCCCTTCCAGCCAGAGAAAGAAGTTGGGACCGGGTGGGGGGGTGGGGGGCTCCTGCTGGCGGGGTGGGAAGGGGTCCAGCACGCCCAAGGCCAGGCCTGGGCTCTCCCACCCGCAGGCGGCTACCCCAGGGCCTGTTGGTAAGCAGGGCCTGGCTGACCCGTGGGCACCACCCTGGGTAAAGATACTGCCCTGAAAAGGGAAAGTGTGAGGCCAGGGGGCGGGGGAAATGAGCTCCACACCCCACTGGGTCCTCAGAGGGGACAGGAGCTGTGAGGGCCATACAGCAGCGGGGCGCGGGGCGCAGGGCACGGCCAGCATGCACAGCCACAAACCTCCACCTGTCTGGCGGCTGAGTCCCAGGAAGCCGGAAGACGGGGCTCGGCTTCCCCAAAGACAAGCCTGTGGCTTAGAAAGATAGAGCTATTTTTCATCTGCCATCTGGGACAGCCCCAGAGTGGGGGTCCCGGGGGCTTTGGGGCACCGAGCTCGGCCCCCTCAGAGGAACTCAGCGTAAAACGAACAACATCCTCTTCGTTGGGTCCCCAGGGTCTGTGCTCCCCGCGGCCCCTGCAAGCACCAGACGGGCTGGAGGGACTGGGGGTGGGCTGCCTGCAGGGGACCTGGGGGTGCTGGGGGACCAGGGCTGGGGGTAGGGCGGGGAAGGAGCTCAAGGCAGGGCAGTGGGGGTCCATTTGGGATGGGGCTCCTAGGGCAGGAGCCTGGCTCAGAGAGGTTGTCCTGGCCCCGGCTGGTTTCACCACGTCTGGACGCCTCCAGGAGCCTCCCCAGCTCACAGTAGAGCCAGGAGATTCAAGGGGCACCTTCCCCTGCCAACCGGAGTGGGGTGAACGGTGGTCCCCCAAACTCTGCCCAGGTCCTGACCACTGGAACCTATGAATGAGGCCTTATTTGGAAAAGGGGTCTTTGCAGATGTGACCAAGTCAAGGACCTCAGGATGGGATGTCCCAGGATCCCTGTGGGCCCCAACTCCAGGTGGGAAGAGAGCGGCCTGCGCTGACCTCCCCAACCCGATTACGACGGCCGGTCAGCCACGCGCGTGCGCACGCGCCCTGTGAGCGAGGCCCAGGGTAGGAGGCTGAGGCCGGCGGCTGGAGCAGGGCTGGGGCGGCCACCTGGAGGCTCAGAGCGGAGGCCTCCACGTCCGTCCCTCTGCCCAACCACTTTCTCCTCCAGGGCCACCCCACCCAGAGTCCCCTTCCTGCCAGCCGGGGCTTTCCGACCAGTTACTCACCACGTTCCCGGTGTTTGTCCATCTGGGATCCCTGCCCATTTAGGGTTGTTTTGACCTGCCTGGGGCTTTTCATGTATCTTCACACCACTTATGTAAGGAGTGCTTTATGCAACTGGCAGGCCCCACAGTCCCAGGGAAGCCAGCAAAGAGAAAGTCTGCACCAGCTCCCCGCAGCGCTGGCCAAAGCACCCAGCCTGCCCTGACCTCCCGATGCACCCCCCTTTCCAGCTCTGCCTTCCTTCCCTGCCCCCAGTCTCCGGATCAGAGAGCAAGTGGTGGCTTGGCCAAGAGGCAGGCCCACCGTCTGCCCTGGACCGTGATGCTTGAGGGGTCGAGGGAGGGACCCCTGCTAGGCCTAGCAGGGGATGACGAGGCACCAATGGCAGGCTGGCTGGGGTGGGTCCCCCAGAAGCAGATGCTGAGGCAGGATTCTAGGACAGTTTATGTGGGAGGTGAGTGGGGGAGGGCAGGAGGTGGGGTTCACCTGTGGGGGCCTTGGGGACACTACAGACACATTCGAGGACTGCCCTGCCCGGAGAGAGAGGGAAGCTGACTGGCTTCGAGTTGTCTCCGACATCGTGAAGGGCTCCTGGGGCATTAACGAGGGGGGCGCTTCAGGCGGCCCTCAGCGAGCACAGGATGCCAAGTGCTCGGGGACCCACCATGCCCCAGGCTGGAGGGACAGGAGAAAGAGGGGGTGCTCCAGTGCCCAAGGCCCAGGGCCTTGCTGCCAAAGCTCGGAGCGTAGAGATGCAGCTGGAGACAGAGGGAGGCAGAGCTACTTGGCTTCTCCCCGGTTCTGCTGCTCGGCGCCCACCAGAGGGTCAGATCTCCCAGGCCGGGGCGCCGGGGGGCGGGGAACGCTGTAGAGCCTGGGACTGGAGCCTGTGAGCCGAGCTCAGCAAAGGGGTTCCAGGAGCTCACAGGCCCAGCACCCCACGTGCCTCCCAGAGGCTGAGAAGCAAGGTGTCAGATGGGAGGCCGTGGCCTAGGCCTGCCGCAGGGGAGCGTCCAGCAGACTTGCAGAGCTGAGAGCACCGGGAGGCACCTGGGGTGGTCAGGGGAGCCTTAGCCGGGGCCAGGCCTCCCAACGAGGCCCCCAGAAAAGCACCGGCCCAACACCCTCCCCCCCATTTCCTACTGGCAGGGTCTGCGGGGCCAGGATGTCAATACTCGGGCTGGCCAGCCGCTTCCAGCCCAGGAAGGCCGCGCTCTGACGTGGGCCCTCGGCGGCGCTCAGGCGCCCTGTCCCTGTTTGTTCTCCTGCCCACTGCTCGGGAAGCCGGGCTCTCCACTTCCTCGACGCGCCAGAGGCCCAGCTCCGTTCTATTCCCCAAATAGGAAGTCTTCTGCAAGCTTCTGGCCAGATCGGTGCGGAGCTGACTTCATTTCGGCCAAGATTAACGGGCAGGAAGTGTCATTACCTAAATGGGCCGATGGGCCGATAAGAAGCCCAAGGAGAAAGCCCTCCACAGGCCTTGGCCCGGAGAACCCACGGGAAAGGGCCGCGGGCAAGGAGGACGGACCCCAGAGCTCGGGCCCTCCACGCCGCCCGGCCTCTGGGACTGCACCTCCCGTGTCCCCTGTGGGCCTCCGTGTTTGGCTCCTGAACACACTGGCCGATCTACAAGGGCAGAAAAGTCCCTGAACCTCAGAACAAGGGCCCCTCCCTAAAATATTCACACTTAAAAACATTATGATTCAACCTCATACTCCCACGATGGGGAGATTGTTCTAAGAAGAAAAGGCGTGAGGGCACACGCACAGTTGCGTCATCCTCACCCGTCCAAGCCTCCTCCGTGGGATCCCTCCCCCTGCCCGGGAACACCAGGCCCGGTAGCTGTCAGGAGCTGAGGTCCCGACGCAGCAATGGCCCTGCATGTCCACACCGGGGGCTGGGGCGGGGGGGGGGACCAGGCCCCGCCCTCAGGGAGACCAGGCCGGTTGGTCCGCCAGAGCAGTCCCGCTGCCTGACCCGATGATTCCCGGGGCCCCCCCCTTCCCCGGTCCCGCTGCCTGACCCGGAGACACCGCGGGGTCCGGGGGCCGCAGCCTCCTCACCCCCTCCTCTTGGCATCGAGAGGCACCGCTGGGCCTGCAGGCAGTGGTCCAAGTGCAGGAACCGGTCCTCTCCTCCAGCCAGCCCCCTCGTTGCTGGAAGGGCTCATGGAGCGCACGCTCCCTGTGCCCCCCCGGAAGCCTCTGGCCACAAGGTCAAGGCCCTGCCCGGCCTGCAGCTCTGGTTCCTCTCAGATCAGCCGCTGGAGGCCCGGTTGTAGACGGTGCGGAGAATATTCTAGAGTCTGTCTCGTTCCCGGAGGAGGCTGCCTGGGCTGGGGGTGCCCCTCCCGAAGGGCAGGGACGGGAGTGTCAGCCCTAGACCAGAGGCGGCAGGGGCCGCAGCGCATGGCACGCGGGTGTGGGGAGCCCTGTGAGCACACACGGGAGCCCCGCGGAGGAGGCGCAGCCATAGGAGGGGGCCCCGGAGGCAGAGGACGGGAGGACGCCCGGGCCGCACGGAGGTCCTACAGGTGCCCCTGTGGCCTCCAGGGCCAGGCTGCAGGGTTCACGCACACCCGACCATCACCGCCCACAGCAGCCCCGCATGGAGGCCGTGAGGGGGGATTCTGGAGCTGCAGGTGCTTGCCCAGGCCCACGCCACAGAAGGGGCAAAAACAGGACTCCTCGTTCGCCTGGAGGCTCCAGTGCACCAGCCTCTGGCAGCCCCGTGCCTGCAGAGGAGTTTCCCCACGTCCCCGTGTCACCATGGCCTGCCCAGCACCACACACCTGGTCGGCGGGGGACGAGGCTGAACAGGAGCCTGTGTGACTCTCTGAAAATCGTGGGGGCCCGGGAGCAGGTAGGGGCTGAGCCAGGAAGGAAACGCGGGTCCCCGGCTCCCTGGAGGCAGAGGGAGGGTGGGGAGGGGCGTGCGGGTGTCAGGGTGCAGGCCTGGTAGGCGCTGCTGCAGTTCTAGGGCCGTGGTCTGGGACGGAGAGTCCACAGGTGAGCGCAGGACGGGGGGGCAGTGTGACAAGGTGGCAAGAGAGAGGGTCGGGGAGGTGACGGCAGCACCCTGGTGGGGGTCAGGAGGCTCCCGGGCCAGGTCAGGGGCCGCAGGGGCCCACGGACAGGCAGGGGAGTGACCCCGTGTGGGGAGGTAGCCCACGCCTGCTGCCCGAGGCCACCATGGGATCCGCTCACAGCTGGGAATGTCCCCACATGCCAGACTGAGCCAACACTCGGCGTGTGCCACCATAACAGACTCTGTCGTCACCCCATTTCCCAAGTGAGGAAACCTGTTGGCCCAGGGGTTCCATGACCAGGGACTTTCCCTTCCATCAGAGGGACAAGCCCATGGGGACCCGCAGTGACATAGTCACACACAGCTCCCTAGGCCGGAGCCCTGGCCAGGCCCCGGGACCGTCAGGGGTGGGGTGCCAGTCACTCCCAAACTACCGGGCCCCGAAGCTCCCTCCAAGCTCCGCCACCAGGCAGGGCAGGGCTGCTGGCTCTAGGCCTGGGTTGGCCGCGGGCCGTCCACGTGAGGCCCAAGTCCCTGAGCGCAGGACGGGGGGTCAGCTCCAGGCTCAGGCAGATCCTGGACAGCCCAAGTGTGACAGTGCCGGGTCACCGGTCCGACCCCGTGAGTCACTGTCTCCAGAGCCAGGCCCAGATTATAGGAGGGTGACGCAGTTTCCAAGGAGAGAAGCCCCAGCCTCCGTGCGGAAATGCCCACACCCAGGGCACACTCCGTGCCCAATCTTCCCCGCAGACAAGCCCTGGCCTGCGTCTGGCCGCCCTACATTCCCAGGGAGGGAGCGCCACCCTGCTCTCAGGTCGGGGCCGCAGCAGCACCCTGGACTCTGAGCCCTCACTCTGGGCGGCCGCCCCAGGCGCACCCCCACCCCCACGCCAGGGGCTCTAGGCCCGGGCGCTGGTCCCAGGTGCTGGGCTAGGGGAGCATGGGGAGAAGAGCTTCCACATCTGGCAAAGGGGCCAGGAGTGGATTCCTCCCTCTGCTGGGCCTCCCGGGACCACCGTCCACAAGAGGGCACCCGAGCCGAGCAGAAATGTCCCCCATTAACCTCAGACCGGACACGGATGGCACAGCCTTTGGCTGATTTGCCATGTGGGGTGAGTCTTTATCGCGCAAGTGGTGGGTGATGGAACCCACCCTGCAGACGATGGCACGGCCCAAGGAGACAGCCCAAGCCATGGGGGTGGATGGTGCGTGTCCCCCGGAGGACCACGAGGGGCTCGGGGTGGCGGTGGTGCTTAAATCTCGACTGCCAGGTGTGCAAGCGAGCATCTGGGTTTGTCAGCATGCTGCAGTCCCGGGGAGCAGCCCTGGTCGCTCGGGGCCCCATGGGGCAGGGTCTGCCCACTCTGGGCCCCAGGCGCTTGACTCCAGCGGGCCACTGTGTCCCCCTCAATACTAGAGGTTAAGCTGGTCCTTCTTTTAAAGTCAAGGAAAGTCCTCCAGGCGGTCTTTGCCGTGCAAGGGGTCCTGCCCTAGACCCTCTGTTGCCCATGCCGACGAGTGCCCCCCGCCTACCGCCAACGCTGCTGAGTCACCCTGCCCACCTGTGACCTCCCCCAGTGTCCACGAAGGTCAGAGGCTCAAGGTCATTCCTCACAGCAGAGCTTGAGCCTGACTGTCAAAGCTTGGGGTGTCCGCGTGAGACCCCAGTCAAGGGCAGGAGGGGGCCTGAGACAGCGTGGCCCCGGGACCCTGGCTGGCGGGAGGCGGGTGGGGCACGGCTGCTCCCCAACACTGTCAACACCTTTGGATCGTTGCTTAGAAATTTTGTTCTACCTTTTCAACCAGCACTAAGCCCTGTGTGTGGCTGTGATCGGTTCCTCCTTGTCCCACAGCCTTGCTCACTTTTCTCAGCCGGGTGGCATCTGATGCGTCCTGGCTGTCACCCTGCAAGCCCAGAAACGCCCTGTCTCCCTCCCACTGAGGCCCCGTGTAGGATGACAGATGACTTCCTCCTGCCCCTGCACTTGCTGGGTGCACGGGGCAGCAGTGGGGTGCCTTCCAGATCTTGGGTGACATCCGTGGTTTGGGCTTCTTCCTTGCTGTGCTGTTCCGTGGTCTCCGTTAGTCCTGGAGGGTGCTGACGTGGAGGTGCTGGGCGGCCTGTTGGCCTTCAGCATGCCAGCTTCGGGCTCTAAGCTCCAGTGTGGTCACCGGTCCTCTCTTGTCCCCACCGCGGGTGCTGCTTTCCTGGTCCTGCCCAGCCATCCTCCCATACCCTGGCCCGCCCATACATGGAGACAGGAGGGGACTTAGATTCCGGGAGAAAAGTCCAGCTCAGAAGCCAACCCAGCCCTCCGAGTCCCATGTACCAGTGGGGAGTCAAAGCTTGGCCCCCTCAGCAGCCACCCCCCGAGAGGCCAACCTGGGAAGCAGCATGGCTCCCTGATCCTCAGCCTCCACGTGGCTGGTTCCAGCTCCCCCGCCTGGCACACATCGGGCGTCCCTGCCCGTCCTCCGGGTGCCCAGATCCACCTCCCCCTCTCGGTGGGCACCCCGCTCACCCAGTCGTATCCCGGGGTGCCCAACAGCCCCCGGCCAGGGAATTCCTGGAGCTGGCTGACCGACCGGTCCGGGTCCCATGAGCACCCTGGGCTGTCTTCGTCCAGGCTGGCCCAGGCACCGGCAGCTCCCGCTACAGTCCCTCCCTCCCACCCCTTCCTGCTGGAGCCACGGTCGCGACGGGGGAGGCCAACGTCCACCAGGCGCACCCCAAGCCCCAGCACCCCAAGCCACCTTCTCTCTCTTCACTCTGCTCCTGCTTGTTCAGCCTGAAAACCCACCTGCACCTTGCAGAGTTGGCCCAAGCCAGGCTACGCACTTCCTAGAGCCCGAGAGAGCCTGAGGGAGTCCCACACCAGGCCACCCCGGAGACATGAGGGTGGGACGGGAGGTGGGCAGGACCCACAGTTCACCTGTCTTGCCAGCCTCCCTGGGCCGCGGCACCCGCGCCTGTACCCACAGGCCTGCTGTGAGCAGAAGTGAGCCCTCGGATGTGGATGAGCGGCACCCTGCCTGAGGCACAGTGGCGAGGCCCGCCCCCAGCAGGAACGCAGGTGGGACCCGCAGCAGGGGTGGGCACCTCTGAGAAGGGCCGCCTGGCCTGCCCTGCGCTCTGTGACACCGAGGCACCCGCTGGTCTGGGTCAAGGGAGGGCCTCAGACAACGTCTGCACTTTTCCGCACTTCCACTGGGCAAGCTGGTCCTGTGCACCGGCCACCCCCGCCCCGCCCCGTGGGTCCTTCCCCTGACTTGAGGACTCCCCCACCTGCGCTTCTGCTGGCCCTCACCTGTCCAGGAGGAGGCCGAGCAGATGGACCCCAAAAGTCAGCATCTCGAGGCCTCGCCGTGTCCCCATCTTGGGGCTTTCCCTGTAGAGAGGCCGCACCTTGTGCTCTGCACCATGGCCCCCCGGGTCTCTCACACCGGCCTAGAGGGAGCCCCGGCATCACTGCACACTCACACGTTCGGGTGCTCGCGTGCCCTGCAGGCCTCCGGCCCCCCTTCTTACTGTGGATACCTTTCAAAGGCCATCGTTGTAGCCAGTGTTTGAGAGAGAAAACCCAAAACAGTCTACATGTCTGTTGGTAGGGGAGGCTGGTGAGCGAAGGGCAGCATCCGACAGGGAGGGTGTGCGCCGCCCGGCGGGGGGGGACTGCACGGGACAGCCCGGCGAGCGGCTGAGGAAGAGGCCCCCGGGTGCGCCGCCCCCACTGCCGTCAGGGGCCCGGACCCCTGCAGGGTCAGTCCTGCAAGGTCGATCCTCGGAGCCCAGGTGCCCGGAGTGGGGAGCCCCTGCAGAGACCCTCCGTCGCGCCCTCCTGGGGTCCCCTCCAAGGAACCCGCCTGCGCTCAAGTCCCTGTCCCCAGCTCTGCCTTCAGGGGACCGCAAACGAGGATCTGTCTCTTTTATAGAAAACTGTGATGGAAATGCTCCAAACGTGGGTCACGCTTGTGGTGCGCGACTTGGTGAAGTTATCACAGTTCACCCATGATGCCCTTAAAACAGGTGGATTTCATGGGAGATAAGTTCTCCCTCGACGAAGTTGTTTTTGAACAAAAGGTCCACGATAGGGCCAGAAGTAGTTCAAGCAGGGGGGCAGCCCGTGGGGGTGGCAGGGGGGCTGGCGGTCCTGGCCCGGCCCAACTGGATGCGGTCACGCCTGCCACGGTCCCACAGCCACAGAGCTCTCCTTTCTCAAGCTTGTTTCTGTAGCTCAAAGAAGAAAAACCTAAACAAACAACAGAAGTGGCGGGAGCAGCGGCGGCCCGCGGGCTTCCCGGCCGCGGTGGGGACCTTCTGTCTGGGGCCCCCACGGCTCTCTGTGCAGGGAGGTGGCCGGCCGACAACGCCCACCGCTGCCATCTGGCCCCGCGGGCTCCAGTCCCCCTCAGAGGAGCCATGACCCCAGGGGCACCTCTGTGCAGGGGGCCCGGGTGCCAGGCGGCTTCCCGCACCTCCCTGCCGACTCCCCGGGCTGGAGGAAATGCCCAGGAGAGGTTCACTGCACCACCCCCGCCCCCCGCCCCATCCCATCCGCTGCTCCAGCCTGGCCTCTGCCGGCCCCGCACCCAGCAGCGCCCACCCCAGCGGCCCAGCAGCCCGAGCAAACGGGAAGATGAAGAGGTGACGACCGGTCTCAAAAGCGCGTGGGGAAGTGTTAAGCAGGAATGTGAAACGGCATCCTTGTATTTCCTTAATGCCTTACTTCTCAAACTTAATATAAAAATAAAGGGAACTTTGAAACACTTTTCTTAGCCGTTCAAGGTTTGGTGGTAAGTGTAAGTGGGTCCCCTTGCGCGGGTACCGGTGGAGCGAGAACGAGCTGCCCAACGTGTCAAGCTTCTCGCACAGCAGACAAAACGTACAAAGTGTCATCATCACCAAGATTATGGCTCCCATCGCATGAGAACAGGTTTGAAAACATCAGCATTGACTCTCATTTTGTATTGCTTTCTGTCCTTGATTTTAAGCCTTCCTAGCCTATAGCTCTGCTTGCCTTAACGTTTTCCCAGAATTTAAGTGGTATTACATTGATCCTTCCTGGGGACCCAACAGGACTCGGTGGCGTTCTTAACCAGCGGTGATGATGGGATGGACAATCCACCTGTTGATTGATGGACTGATGTTTGGCTTTTTATTAGGAAATCGTCAGACAGAGGCTAACGTGGAGAGAAAAGCCTGTCACCCCCACAGCCCCTGTCAACAGCGACCAGTGACCGACGGCCAGGGGCTCCTGGCCACAGCCCACCCACAGCCCAGCTCGGGTTTAGTTCCAAGGAAGTCCCCCACGCCAGGCCAGCCCCCCGACAGCGCTGCACAAGCATCTCGAAAGACAACTCTTTCTTTACAAATAGTCACACCCAGAAGTGAAATGAGTAATTCCTTCGTACTCTCAGAATTCACAGATCCCCTTTGTCTCAGGAAAGCTTTAGGAGAGCTTTTGTTTGTTGCTATGCGGGGCTTATTAAAATCGGGTTCACTCCAGATCAGCACGGGGGTGGTTGCTCTGTTCCACGTGGATGTGGGCGAAGGGCCCTCGCGGAGGAACCAGGACAATCCTCCCTCCTCTGAGCTTCTGGAAACCAGGGATTCCACCGGGAGGCTGCATCTCATTCTGGTCAACCCCGGCGTGGGAGGGGGTCTGTGCCATCCCTCGGGGCACGGCATCCGGCTGTCCCCGTCCTTGCGACTAGCCGGCTGGGGATCTGGATGGGGGTCTGGATGGGGTCTGGATGGGGTTGGCGTGCCCCGATCCATCGTGAGGGCCCCCACAGCCCGGTCACCTCCTCACTCCGGGAGCCACTAGGACCATGCACCATATCCGTATTTCACTGGAAGTTGCAAAATGGCAGTATCTTAATTCCATTGTTTATTTCATTTGTGTTAGCTGACTTTTTAGAAAGAATTCTCCCTCGTCAACGTTTTGTTTGCCAGGAAAGACAGGATAAATTCTTGATTCTGTCCCCTTATCAGTTGTCAAATAATGAGTCGGTTCCCTAGCATCCTGCCAAGGTGAAGGGCTGAGTAATTAAATGAAAGATAAATAAACAGGATGACAGCACTGGCAGGGACCGCGAAGGGGGGACGTACGGCAGAATGAGGGTGCGCGCAGGGCCCGTGAGCTGCTGAGGGCACGCGGGACAGGAAACCTCACTTGCGATGCCGGAATAAGGCCAAATGGACCAAATGAACTGAGGGCGTGAGCCTTGTGGGAATCTGGGGGAAAGCCATCCAGAAAATGGGTGTCGTGTGCAAAGGTCCTGAGGCAGGAAAGAAGCCCATGTGCTCCAGGCTCAGCAGTAAAGAATGTGTGGCTGCAGAGAAGGGGCTGAGGGCTGGCAGCCCCTGCAGAGCTCAGATCCTTGCAGGCCAGAGTGAATTCAATCAGAAAACACCGCTGAGGTTGTGCTTTGGGCATGTGGCAGGCCCTGGGAGGCTCTGAGTGGGCCCTGATCTGTGGTACACTATCTGAGTTTACAGGGTAGCAAGGCGAGAGGGCAGAATAACCCACGGGGATGGGTTAGGTCAGAGACAAGAGTCGGAACTCATATTTGGCTCATCAAGATACGACTGTACTCAGAGAAATAGCTCTGGACGTCTGCGTGCACACGGGTCAGGCCTGTCTTGCTCTGCCAGCTGACGGGGCCTAGAAGCCGGGACGCCCCGTACCATGAGCCCGCCCAGCCCCGGACCTGGCTTTCTTAAGCCATCCTCCAGGAAAAGGAGCCAGGCTCCTGAGAAGTGGCCGATTCTCAGATGAGGGCATCAAGTGCCCAAGGGGAGCCCGGAGCGTACCACACTGTACCAACCCCACGTCGGTCAATGTGCCCACAGCAGCTCAGCAATCAGCACAAAGCCCGTGGTGATGTCAGCCGCAGGGGCAACCGCGTGCAGACTGCATGGGAACTCCGTACTGTCTTTACAATTTTTCTGTAAATCTGAAAGAAAAGTCTATTTAAAAGCAAAAGGGAGCTCAGAGGGCTCTGGGCAGCAGGGGTGCAGGGGAGGTGGGGCCTCCCGACTCAAGCACTCAGGAAAGGGGGCGGTGGAGACAGGAGTCCAGAGGAGGAGCAGGCTTCCGGGGACGGGGAGAAACCAGGTGGTTTGGGCGTGAGGTGGGGCGCCCTTCAGACTCCCGAGTGGGGACGGGTGTGTTGGACAGCCGAGCCGGGGGTCCCCCAGCTGAGGACAGAAACGTGGGGGTTGTTGGTGGATAGACACGGGATCTGAAGTCCATATCTGGAGGAGCGAGGGGTCCTGGTCGCCTGTATAGACAGAGGGAGGCCTGTGGACGAGCCCTGGAGGGGGCAGAGGGAGGCATGGGGACAGTGCAGCAGCCTGTGCGAGAACCAGAGACCCCGGAGCAGGGGAGGGGGCGTGTGGGTCAGCTGAGGACCGGCCCCACGCACTTCCTCCAGCAAAACGGGGGCCCGTCCTGCCCAGGAGGACAAGAGAACCCAGAGCGTGGTGTAGACGGCTCTCCCAGGACTTGGGGAGACATCAGGGCTGGGGGTGGGGGTGGTGCATGACGTCCCGGGGGAAGCAGGGGTGAGGGCCAAAGATCTAATAGAGGGTGGGCAAAGAGGGACGCGGGACACGTCACCCGGCTGCAGCAAGGGAGGTGGATGAGGCCCAGAGCCCAAGGCTGATGAGGCCAGGCCAGCTCCACCTCCTCCTGCTGCCAGGCCTGGGGTAGGAGACGAGACGCCAGGCAGGGCACTGACTGCGAATGGACTGGGGGGCCAGGGGGGGAGCTGAGGGAGGCCGGGCGGGGGCTGCTGTCTGGCGCAGGCAAGGGATTTAAGCGGAAGGGTTCCCAGGCAAGTCCAGCGGAAGGAGAGGTTTCCGGCCGAAGAAGTTTCCGGCTAATAGCACGATAGTGAGAAGACGATGTCCTGCGGCTGCGCCGGGCGAGTGGGCCGTGAGGGTAGGACGGGGTCAGGCACGGGGCCTGGCCTGGCGGTGGTGGCCGAGCTAGGGCAAATGTCAGCGGTGACGTCCGGTCTGAGGGTGACCCAGAGCGGAGGACTGAGCAGGGTCCGGTTCCAGGAAGGCCAGGGTGGAAGGGGCCTGGGGAGCCCCTGGGCAGCTCCGAGGGGCGGGGGGCGGGGCAGAGAAGGCAGCCGGGGGTGGCTTTGTGCCCTGAATGGCAGAGTCCCCTCGGAGGGGCCATTCAGGCCCGTCTCCCCTGAGTCTGTCCAGCCCTGCTCGCCACATCCCATGACCCCCGCCCAACCGCAGGAAGCCCCCATTCCGATACCCCGGCCGGGGTGGGGGCAACATTCGTGCATAACAAAGCACCCTGAGAAAGTCCCTACAGCAGCTACCCTTCGTAGCTTCCCCTCACTGACTCCTACCCGGGCCCCCCGCCCACCGGTGGCCCCGTTGTGTAGAAGACTGGGGCCCGAGGTTGCGCAGCTCCCCAGGACCTCGCGGTGCGTGGTGAGCGTGGAGGGCCCCCAGGTCCGTGTGAGCAGCAGGAACGGCAGCCACCCCTCCAGCAGAGGCCAGGTCCGGGGGAGCCCGAGCGCCATCACACCCCTCGCCAGCCCCCTACTGCACCCCTAGCACCAGGGATCTGCCCTCCCACGGCGAATGTGTCTGACTCAGAGGGGAGCGGGGCCGCCAGAGCGCGGCTAGAGGGGCTTCGGAGAGACATGGGGGACTGGCCCTCGGGCATCCCCGCGGGACCTTCCTCTGGGCAGAATTAGCAGGCGTGGCTTGGCCCTGGTTGCTCCCCTGCCTGCGATGCAGGGTTTCTCTCACTGCACCGCCGCCTCCAGGGTGGTGCTGGCCTTCCCGCCAGCACCAGGCACACACTCGAGCGGGAGGGAGGGCCCTGGCCCGTGTCTCCTGCCTGTAACGGTCGGGACCCAGGACAGCCAGGGCCTGGGTGGGAAGAGCACTGCGAGGGCTGCAGGAGGGAGTGGGCTGGGAGCCCTCGGACTGCTCCGGGGTCTCCATCCCAGGCACCCCGTCCAGCCCCATGGCCCTGGTCAACTGTGCCCCCTACCCCCCCCCGGTGCCCGGGCCCACAGTCCCCCCACGGCAGCCATGTGGCCTCCTCCAAGGGCGTGCCAAGAGCCAGGCTGGCCCTGTCCTGCCCACAGAGGAAATGGCAGTCCTTGCAGCTGCCCCCAGAAAGGGGACCAGAGCGTCCATCCTCACGGCTCAGCAGGCCACAGCTCAGACGGCGCGTCGGAGGGCCACGTGGCTGTGTCTCTAAAACAGAGAGTGCACACGCCCAGTGACAAGAGTCCTGCACCAGGTCACCGGCAGGAGGCACACAGGAGGACGCCCACGCGGCCTGTCAGCAGCCTAAATGTCAGTGCCCGGGGGACGGACGGAGAGACACATGGCGCATGCAAACTCAGGCAGCGGGCGAAAAGGACGAGCCAGACACTCACAGTCACGGCCCGGCACGAGTGCCGTGACCCACCGCAGGGGGACAAAGTAAGTGGCAAAGGGCACGGAGGGCAGAACCCCGCCCCGCGGACACACACCCTGCCTGCACGTACGTGTCGGTGACCAGACGCTGCGCCGCGGCCAGACGGAGCCTGCAAGCGGAGGCGAGCCCCAGGGGGAGGCGGGAAGGACTGATTTTTGGTGTGATATTAAGCATTTTGTAAGGGATAGTGCAGGAATGTTTGGTTTAAATAAAAGCATAAGCGTGGATGTGCTCGCTCCGGCAGCACATATACTAAAAGTATAAGCGTGGAGAAAAAGTGAGCAAAGGCAACAAAGCATGGCCGCTGCTCCGTCCTGGGGTCGGAATCGGGGTAGAGGTCGGAGTAGAAATCGCCATGGGCTGGGGCCCGCAGGAACTGCCCCGTAGGAACGCCAGCCCGACAAAGCACACACCGGCTGACTCGGACAAGCCTGGCCCCCCGGGACCAAGACCCCCGTGCCAGACGAGTGCCACTCATTACCTCTGAACCGCTGCCACGGTCCCTGCCACCGGAGGGGTCCTCAGTGTAGGTACCCAGGGCTCATGTGGACTTGTGTGTCCGTGCGCCAGTGCTGTTCCCAGGGGCAGGAGAATGGGGACACAGAGGCTGTCATCAGCCGCCGATGAGAGGGGCCTCTGGTGAGGTTCAAACAGCCCCCAGAGGTGGGAGGGGCTGGGCGCCCCCGGATATGGGTGCAGGAGGGACGCCGAGCACCACTGGGCTGGGGCGGGAGGCGTCAAGCCGGCCCACCCTGGACTCACCCACAGACAGGTGCTCTGCAGCCCGAGAGCAGCCAACTCAGATGGGCCAGTACGTGTGGAAGCTGCCAGAACACGGTCCGCCACGTGCTCCACATGAGATGTCCACAAACGACCAGGGGCCCCGGAAGGTGGGCGGAAGGTGGGAAGCCAGCCTGGTGTACCTGCCCACCCACGGGCGAGCTCAGAGCGGGAGACAGTGTGGCGGGCACAGCCCCCAAGCACGGGCTCTGGGCAGCTCTGTGTCCATCACCGCAGCACAAACGGGAAAGTGAGGTGCGTGTGGCTCCAGCAAGGACAGAGAGCAGAGCAGCCCCGGGGGTGGCCGGTGCACTCGCGCCGGCGGGCAGAAGGCTCTGCACGCTGGTCAGAGCAGAACACCGTGTCCCCACTGGCAGGGCTGTGCCCACGTACGGGCAGGTTACAGGCCCCAGCCTCTCTCCACCAGGCACTGGGCCAGTGTGTCCCATGGGTCCCAAACCCAGTTCAGGGGAGGGCCCAGTGGGCCGGTGCTCCCGTTGCCCGGGGACCTGGGGCCGCCTCCGTTCACTGTTCTGGAACATGAGCGGTCCCACGGAGCTAGATCATCAGAGCTTCCCGGAGGCCGACCAACCACTGACCCGGATCGCTTGTGTCCCCCCTCCACCTTGGGTACTTCTGGGGCAGAAGGGGGATGGGCTGATTCCGGAATCTTCTGAGGGTGGGACCCTGGAACCAAGACGCTTTCAAGAGCAGGAAAACCTTGGCCCAAGGGTGGGGCTTCCCTTCTGGTTCCAAAGTCCTGACAGGCCAGACCTGGGACTTATTTGGACCTTCAAAGGGACCTGGAGCTGCCCTGAGTGGTCACCGCCTGGCTGCTCCCTGCCTCTCAGTCCAAGTACAGGAAGGTCTTGGCTGTAGGATGGACGTAGCCAGATGGTGACCTCTGCGTCGTTAGGGACACATCTGAGGGGTCAGAGTGAGTCTGGATGCTGACTGGCAGTGACCCTCAGGGCAGCACCCCCCGGCTGTCCACCTGGGGCCTCTCTGCTGGCCGACCCAGACCACCACAGTGGGCCTCCCGACCCTCACCCCGGCCCTCAGCAGGTGGCACATTGTCTGGCCTCAGCGCCTCACCAGCCGAAGCCCCCAGACTCAGCGCCCCTCAGAGCACCGTCAGCCGCAGGCTGAGCCTCAACAGCATTTCACACCAGACCTTGTCCCTAAGTGGCCAGCTTACAACCGTCTGGTTACACCTCAGGAGGTGACACTAAGGACTACCGTCTGGCTAACCCTCAGGGGGTGACACTAAGGACAACCGTACGGCTAACCCTCAGGGGGTGACACTAAGGACAACCGTACGGCTAACCATCAGGAGGTGACACTAAGGACGACCATCTGGCTACACCTCAGGAGGTGACACTAAGGACAACCGTCTGGCTAACACTCAGGAGGTGACACTAAGGACCACTGTCTGGCTAATCCTCAGGAGGTGACACTAAGGACCACCGTCTGGCTGTCAGAAGGTGACTCCAAGGACGACCATCTGGCTACCCCTCAGGAGGTGATGCCAAGGACGACCGTCTGGCTACCCCCCAGGAGGTGACACCAAGGACAACCATCTGGCTAACCCTCAGGAGGTGACACTAAGGACCACCGTCTGGCCACCCCTCAGGAGGTGACACTAAGGACCACCGTCTGGCCACCCAGCAGGAGGTGACACTAAGGACGACCATCTGGCCACCCCACAGGAGGTGACGCTAAGGACGACCGTCTGGCTAACCGTCAGGAGGTGACGCTAAGGACGACCGTCTGGCTAACCGTCAGGAGGTGACACTAAGGACCACCGTCTGGCCACCCCTCAGGAGGTGACACTAAGGACCACCGTCTGGCCACCCCTCAGGAGGTGACACTAAGGACCACTGTCCGGCCACCCCTCAGGAGGTGACACTAAGGATGACCGTCCGGCCACCCCTCAGGAGGTGACACTAGAGACCACCATCTGCCTGACCGTCAGGAGGTGACATAAGGACGACCGTCAGGCTACCCCTCAGGAGGCGACACTAAGGACGGGGGCCAGTGGGACCAGAGCCACCGCGTCTCACCCCAACCTCCTGGGCCGGGCAGCCCCATCATGGCAGCTCCTGGGGGGGGCAGGCCCCATTCCCCTCACGGCCTCACCGAGCCCCTGGGCCGTTGCTGAGGGGCCAGCAGCGCAGCTTCAAACAGCGGGTAGGCGTCTTCTCACCGGGGGGGTTTGCCGCTCGGTGGCGCGTGTCCTGTGGCACAGGCAGGCAGGGCGGCGAGGCAGTCTGCAAACAGGCCCTTCCCCTCTGGCCTGGGCCGCGGCAGGCCGCGGTGGGACGCGGGCCGGGGACGGCCGGCAGGGGTGCTCTTTTCTTTCTTGCAGAATCCTGCCTGGGTGGCGGCGAGCCCCCTGCCCCAACGACCTGGGGCCCCCCACCCGCATGGGCCTCCCTGGGGTTGGTGCCGCCATGGGGATAACAAGGAGCTTCCGAGCCGCAAACCGCCCCCACCGGTTTGGCCAACAAGCGTGGCGGAAAGCCAACAGTGCCCGACGGGGGGACCCCAGGCCCACGTCCGCTCCAGCCTGGAGAAGCAGGCGCCTCACCTCCTGGCGCCCAGCACGCGCACGCGGGGCAGGCCTCACGGGGCCGTGAGATGACCATGCGGGGCAGGGGTGGGCCGGGGGTCTTCCCTGAGCAGCGGCCTGCCTGGACAGCCTCCGTCCGGCTCCTGGGACTGGAGGACGCGCGGGGCGGCGGTCAGTCTCAGCCGAGCGCTGTGTGCAGTAAACAGAGCCCCAGGCCCGGGGGCGCTGCCTGGAGGGGGTCAGCAGGAGACCTCCGATCCACAAGTGACCCGGTGGGGCGGTCCTGCGGGGGCTGAGTCTGTAAACCGCCACGGCGGGTCGTGTGCGGGCAGGGGCCTGCGCTCTGGGTGACGTGACACGCGTGGCTGCTGCTGGTGTGGAGCATCCGGTCCACAGGGGAAAGCAGTGTTCAGTCAAGTAGGACTCGAACATCTTTGTGGGGGAACGCAACTCAACTCTAACGATAAATCCCAAGTAAATACCTAAGGTCAAATTTCCATGGCAACCAGAGCGACCTAACGAGGCTTCGGATTCAGGAGTGTGCCGTACCAGACCATTCTCGGTTGGGCTTCCTCGCCGTCTGCGGCCTGGATGGCTGCTTCCCACGTTCTGGGGCCTCACACGGAGGGTTGGGGAGCACAGTCCCAGGAGCCCAGGCAAGGCCCTGCCAGGCTGACAGGCGAGGGCCACAGCGCTGAGGCCACGAGCTCCTGCTGCTCCAAACCCCCCGGGAGCCCCTGGGTGCCACTCTGACCATCGACCGTCCGTGCCAGGGCCCCACAGACGGCTCCAACCTCGGGGCCGTGCTGCAGAGGCTCCGGATGCCGGGGGATTCTGGCTTGGATGTTTGGTCCTGCCTGCCATCCCCTGCCATTTCCAGAGACTGCCATGGCCCCCTCCCAGCCCCCCAGCCCAGGAGTCTGCTCAGGGAGACCTAAACAGCAGGTGGAAGGCAAGTTCCTAACAGTCGTCTTTCCTGGGAGGAAGCACACCTCACGGTTCCTTCTCCAGCTGCAGAGATGTGGCTCCGAGGTGCCGGGGGGCACAGAGCTCTGGAATGGGACGTGCCCCCCGCCCGGCCAGACTGCAGCCTTGTAGGCAAGAGGGGGACGAGGTGCGGTGGGGGGATGGGAGGGTGTGGCCAGGACTGGCTTTAGCAGAAACCTATAAGGCTTTGAATCCACTGTGTGGTCACGGGACCCTGAGCCTGCACCTGTCCCTGGCAGCCCCTGCTGGGCAAGGGCAGACGGGAGGCCAGGCAGTGCGAGCCCCCACCCTTCTGCAGACGGGGAGGCAGTGCTCTGCCAAATTCTTTCCCTCAGGATTTGCACCTCCTTGAAATAGCAATGTACCAAATGGGTGGAAGTTTCTGGAAATTAAATATATATATCAAGAGAAAACTCAAAGTATTAGGCATGTCCCTTTTTAGGGGCTCCACCACCCCAAGGCTTTCTGAGCCTTGGGACCCCTTGCTCCTGCCTTTCCTCCGTCTCCGCCCCAACCCCAGCCGTCTCCCCAAAACCACCACCTGCTTCCTATCACCGCAGATGAGTTCACACTTGTAGAGTGTACAGATGGCGTCACACGGTGGATGCTCTGTTTTGCCCCCCTTCTGTTCACGACTGATCTCGAGCTCCGTTCCAGCCGTGGCACTCCCTGGCTCACTGCGCCTTTCCCGCGTGGCATGGACGTCCACAGTCCATCCCTTCACCTCCTGGTGCATGTTTGTTTTGTTTCCAGTCTGGGGCTATGACAGATGAAGCTGCTAGAACACCTGTGTACAAGTCTTCCCATCGACCAATGCTTTCCTTCCTCTAGGAGCGCAACGGTCGGATCATGGGCTTGGCGTGTGTTTGACTTTTAGAGAAACTTCCAGACTGTTTCTCTAAAGTGGGCATCAATTCATCCTCTCGCCAGCAAGGAATGCGAATTCCTATTCATTCCCAACCTCGTCCACTCTTGGGATGGCCAGTCGTTTACATTTTAGACTTTCTAATTGGTGCACAGTGGCATCTCACTGTGGCTCTAATTCGCATTTCCCTGATGACGAATGATGTGAACTTATTTGCTTATTTGCCATCGGTGTGCCTTCTTTGGTGAAATGTCTATTCACATTTTTTGCCCTTTTTTTTAATTGGGTGGTTTGTTTTCCTGTTTGGGGTTTAGGGAGTTCTCTATATATTCTGGATGTAAATCCTTCGTCAGGTATGTGCTTGGCAAAGACTTTTCTCCCAGGCTGTGGCTCATCATCCATTTCTTAGTAAAGTCTTTGGAAAAGCAAAAATTCTTAATTTTGATGCAGTCCAACTTATCCACTTTCTTTTATGATTCATGCTCTTGGTGTTGTCACTAAGAAATCTTTTCCTAACTCAAGGTTACAAATATTTGCTCCTGTTTTCTTCTAGAAATTTTACAGTTTTAGGCTACATATTTAGGTCTATGATTTTGAGTTATTGTTTAGTATATGTTCAGAGGTATGGGTCAAAGTTCCATTTGTGTGCCTATGGACACCCAATGTGTGGGAAAGACCCTCCTTTCTCCACTGAATTGTCTCTGCACCTTTGTTGGAAATTGTCCATATATTTCCGGGTCTGTTTCTAGACTCTCTACTCTATTCCATTCATATGTTGTCTTCCCTAATGTTGACACCTCACTGTCTTGATTGTGATAGTTTTATAATAAGTCGTGAAACCAGGTAATATCTGTCCTCCAAATTCACTCTTTTTTATCCCATTTAGACTGAGTATTGTAGGTTTTTCACATTTCCATATGAACTTGATAATCAGCTTGTCAGCTCCTACAAAAGCCTCTGATAGGACTTTGATCGCTTTGAAGGAGCAGATCTATTTGGGGGGAACTGGCATTTTAACAAAACTGCATCTTCCAATCCATGAACATAGTTCATCTCTCCATTTATTTAATTCACCTTAATTTCCTTCAGCAATATTTTGTAATTTACAGTCAGAACACGCACATTTTTGGTAAGATCTCTCCCTAAATATTTTGCATTTTTGGTGTTGTTTTTTATTTAAATTTTGGATTGTGTGTTGCTTGCAAACAGAATACACTTTATTTCTGCACCATGATCTTGAATTAACCTTGCTACGTTTACAAGTTCTAGGAGTTTTTTTATACATTTTCCTAAGATTGCCCACACGCTGAATTCTTTCATCGGTGCAGAAAGACAACTTGCTACTTCCTCTCCAACCTGGATGCTGCGTTTTCTTTTTCCTGCCTGTTGCACTGGGTCGGATGTTCAGAATGCTGTTGAATCAAAGTGGTGACGACAGACGTCCTTGACTGTTCCTGACCTTCTGGGCTGAATCGTGTCCCCTAACAATTCCTATTATGTTAAAGTCCTAACCCACGGCACCTCAAAAGGTGACCTTATTTGGAAAGAGGGTCGTGGCAGATGTCGTTACTGAAGATGAGGTCACACTGGAGTAAGGAGCCCCATCCAGTGTGACTGTGTCCTTGTGGACAGAGACATGCACAGAGGGAGAAGGCAGAGGGGCTGGTGATGCATCTCCAGGCCAAGGCACACTAGAGATGCCAGCAAACACCAGAAGCTGGAGGGAAGGCCTGGCACAGATTCTCCTTCAGTCTCAGAAGGGGCCAACCTGCCGACACCTGCATTGTAAAGGTCCAGCCTCCAGACTGTGAGACAATCGATGTCTCCTGTTTAAGCCTTCCAGTCTCTGGTGCTCTGTTACAGAAGCACCCAGTCTTGCACCAGTAAGTGGACATCAGCTGTGGATTTTTCGTAGATGCCCTTTATCCAGTTGAAACCCTTGTACTTGCAAATAAACAAATAAATAAAATAATTTAATTAAATTTGATTTAAAACGGCGCTAATCAGTGTCCAGGCAGCTTGGCCTGGTAGGTGTGCTCATCCCAGCAGAGCCTGGGCCGAGCTGGGCAGACCCTTCTGCAGCTGCCCCTCCAGGTGCTGCTCACTCACCCTGCCCACAGGACCCAGCCAGCAGCCGCTCCGTGCGGACCCGGCAGCACATGTCCGCTTTGCCTCGAGGAGCTCTTTGGCCTGGGGCAGGGCACTCTCTCTGGCCTCTGTTACCCCAGCTGTGACATGCAGGCGGAGGCACCCTGGGTTGTAAGCTCTCTGTGGCAGGAATGCCGCTTACCTGTCTGGACAAGGCAAACCCGTGACAGGCGCGGGTGTGAGGTCTGCTCCTCCGGACTGAGTCTGGACCCGAGTCAGCAAGCAGCAGCCTCCTCAGCCCACACACCCTTGCTGAGAGTGCACTGAGGCTGGGCAAAGGGAGCTCCAGGCCATGGAAGCAGACCAGTCAGGGGAACGGTGACCGTGGTGCAGGGGCCACGGTGGGCAGGGAGCCTGAGCTGCCCGCTCTGGGGTTGAGAGCCTGCATCATCTGGTGCGCCAAGTGTCTGAGGAACCTCTCCTAGGACACATCTGCCTGCCCAGGCGGCTCAACAGCTGACCTTGAGAGCATCCCCTGGGGCCCCAGCATGCCAGAGTCCAGGTGTGGCCCCTCTGCCAAGCCCCAGGGCCCCTTTTGCCCTGACCCTGGTGGAGCCCTGGCTGAGAGACACCAGGGAAGCCTCAGAATGCGGAGGGGCTGCTTGTCCAGCCTTCCAGAAATCTCACCTCGCCTCCTCCCGTCCAGCCCCCACCCATACAAACCTGACCCGAGACCCTGGGTGGTCCCAGCCTGGGACCCCCACGCTCTCCCTCCTGCCTTCTGCAGGGGTAAGTGCTTTTGGTTTTGAAAGTAGCCCAGAGCCAGGCAAGGTAAGGGGCAACATGCCATACGGAGGGTCCCAGGACCCTGGCCCCCCCCATTAGGGCTCCAGAGCAACGCCCCGGACCCCCGTTCTCCGCACTGTGGCCAAACACCTACACCAGTGGAGCAGTTCCAGGGGGATGTTCATGCGCCCCCCGCCCCATCCAGGGGAGGTGGCACGTGGGGGCGCCTGCCTGGACAGGCAGTGGTGGCTGTCTGCCCAGCCAGGAAGAGCTTCCTGCCGTACCGAGAGCCGGGCTCCGGCGAGATCACATTGCAGCTGGTACAGAGACCGCTAATGGAGGTGCTTGCCCAGAAATGCCCTTAAAAGGCCAAGGCCGGCCAGGCTCCTGTTCCCGGGGGGGAGAGCAGGGGCCATGGGGGCGCCGACCGGGGCTGCCCCAGGGGCAGGCACTCTGGTCACCGTGGCGACAGCCGCTCCGGTCCATTTATAACTCCTGCTGGAGCAGACAGGCCTACCCACAGCCCCCATGCCTGGGAGCCTGGGAGCCAGGAAGGCGGGTCTGCTAGTCACCGGTCTCCCAATCGGAGAACAGCTATCTTCACCTGCCACTGATCACAGTCCTGGTCACCACTGCCCATCCTGTGTCACCGACCACCGGCTCACTAAGAGATGGGGTCAGTGGTGATTTCTGGTCTTCATCCCAGTGAGATCCGAATCCTGCACCTTCCCCCAGAGACCCTCCAGCCCTGTTGGCCTCTCTGCTTTGTCCCTATGTGCCTGGCTCTCTCCCGCCTCAGGGCCTTTGCACTTGCTGTGCTCTGGCTGTTCCCAGCTAGAGCTGTCCCCTGTGCTGTCGGCGCCCTTCCTAGCTTTCACCCAGCTGCAGTGTCTTCCGTAATGACCTGTTCCCTTGTTCCCCCAGTCCACTTCTGCCATGCCCTGCCCCTCCCCAGTGCTTACAGGGGCCCAGCTGCGGAAGGACTGGAAGGCGAACGGGGAGAGGAGGAATGGCCGGAGCAGCAGAGGCTCCCCGAGAGAGTGAGATTCCTGGCTCCACGGAGAGGCAATGGCCTGGCTACCCAAGGGCAGCACCACCGCCAAAGGGCAGGGGCGGGGCTGCTCCCCTGTCGTCAGAGCCAGGGTAGGGCAGGCCCTGCGCTCCCGCTCCCGGGGCCTCCTCACCCCGGGCCCCTCCCGGCATAGCCTGCACTGTGTCCCCAGGCTCCCGCCTTCATCCAAGCCTAGTTGTCTCCAGTCTGGGCCTGGGGCAGGTGGAAACCCACGGCTGCCAGACGCCCCTTGACCTCACCGGGGTCCCCCAGGGACCAAAGGACAGCATCCACCAGGGGACAACAGGTGCCACCCACAGCAAGACCAGTCTCAGGGTAAATGTCTCAAAGCCACCCTCCCCCACGGCCCACATGGTCCCGCCCCACTGGGTACATGCTCAGAGCCCCCAGGACTCAGACACAGCACCGTTCTGGGAAGGGGCCCCAAATGCCACTCGGCTTCATCTCACAGATGACCAAGGCCTGCGGGGGAGAAGCCAGGCCAAGAATCCTGTTCTGACCCCACTTAGCTCTTCCTGAGAGGGTTGATCTAGCAGCCTGAGGCCGCAGGCCAGAGCCTGAATTTGACCCTTCCTTTGGGTCCTTTATTGGTTTAATAAATCAGCAAACTGTGGTGAGCTGGCATTCTCTGGAAGGCCTGAGCATCCTTCTGGGGGACAGATTCCGGCTGCAGGCACACTGCCCACAGCTTTGGCATGGCCCCAGGCCCTGGCCAGAGCCCCCTCCCTGGGCCAGTTCCTGGAAGCCGGGTCCCTGGGCCTCGCTGGCTCCTTGCTGGGGCCTGGAGCATTCACGGAAGCTGCCCCCAGCTGTGGCTCCGAGACCGTGGAGGCTGCAGGACTCAGCGGCCTGCTCTCGGCTCTGCAAGGGCCACGGCCCAGGCTCCCCCAGGTTTGCTTCCAGCATTGGACCCAGGATCCCTGGGGCCTGGCGTGTTTCCTGGCAGAGCTTCCTCAGGAAGCACAGCGAGCAACCCCATTTCCCTTGTTCCCAGAACTGGCAGGGAGCACAAAGAGGAATGGGCCTTCCCAAGCAGCCGGGGCTTCGAGGACAGCTCAGGGCAAGCCCGGCCCCGCCACACCTCAGTTCCCACAACTACAAACAGGGACCCTGCCAAGGCCCCAAAGCCAGCCCCTCTGTGTCCTTCCTGCGGTCCCAAAACCTTCCAGAGAGAACAGCCAAGAGCTCACAGAGCCCGCGTGGTCTCTGCGTGCTGTTGTCACGGAGGCTAGGCCTGGACAAGGGCTAGGGGGCAGAGAAGCGGGGAGGGCAGCCTTCGGGCCGGGGCTGGGTGAGCGCTGACGCCATCCACACCCGGTTGTCAGGAGGATGGAGGATCATGGAAAGCCTCCCTCCGACCCCAGCACCACGGCGATGCTCAGGATACACGGGTGTTGCTGGCAGGCGGCTGGGGTCCCAGCTGGGCGTCCGCCCCCTTCAGGAGCCCCTGGGGGTTAGAACAGAAGACAGAGGACGGCCCTGTGCCCAGAGCGGCCTCGGTGAGAAACAGAGGCCGTGTGCCCTCGTGCAGTAAGGGCAGGCAACCGGGGTGGTGCAGGGGGGGAGCATCCCCAGGCTGCGGCCTGCGGCCCGGGCTGTCCCTCCGCCTCCCTTCTCTCTCCCTTTCTCACAGAACCAGGGGCCCAGACCCTCGCTTCATGCCACACATCCTCCATCTGCCCACGCAGGCCCCCTGCGGCTTTCACCACGATGCCCTCGGCGAGCCTGGTGGGCGGCCCCACACCCTGTTCATCATTCCGTCTTTCCATCAGAGTTCCCTCGCATGTCCCTCGAAGCCTAACAACAATCTACGCGAGTCTGGCTTGGTTCTGAGCTGGGCTGGAGGGATCCCAGCACGTGGTCTCCGGACTCGTTCTCCTCAGCGGGCTCCTAGGACGTGTGGGTGCAGCGGGCGGAGCCGTGGCTGCCCCTCCCCCCCCGCCCCCCGCACAGAGCTGTCACCTGGAGGATGAATGAGGCTAACCGCCGCTTCCCGTGCTTACTAGCCCAACGACCACAGCGCATCTGCCAACGACCGCGGCCCATTTGGCCATCGGCCTGCTGATGTTGTTCTCTCAGGTTTGTAGGATTTCTTTATTTTTTATGCAACGGTCCTGTCGGTTCAAGGCACTACAGACCCCTCTCCCCAGGGTGTGGCTGGCTCCTACAGCTCCCTAAGGTGGTTTCGGTAAACATGTGTTCATAAGTGGTCCACTTTCAGTGTGTAAATCCCATCCTCTGCGCTTAGAGCCCTCTGATCTGGTTTGCGGACCCCCAGCTCGGGGTCTGTAGAGACTCACCCAGGATGTTCTCCACCAGCCTGAGAGTGGAGGGCGGCGCGGCCCCTTCTCCTCACCTCTGCAAAGGTGATGGCTCCTCCCTCCCGGGGAGGAATCAGTCCTGGGCAGAGGACCACCAGGAGGAGGTCCCGGCCTTCACTGCTGGCTTCAGGACAGACCACAAGCTGCAAGGGACCCTGCTGCCCGCTGACAGCTAGGGCTGGGGAAGGTGTTTGGGGCCGGTCACCGTGGATGTGCGCTGGCCTCGGAGCTGGGGGTTTCAGCGGCCCCCTGCGGTCAGACTTGTGCAAAGACTCCCTGCCTATCTCCCCCCACCCCCCGCAGTGAAACACACCTTCCCAACCACGGGGGTTCCGGCAGCCCCAGGCTTTGAGTGGTGACCTTGTAGCGGGGGGCGAGGTGGGCACGATGGGGAGGAGACAGCTGTCAGCGAGCACCAGCGAGAGGCAAGTTGGCGGCCTCCACAGAGGACCCGCTCCCCACCCCACCGCAGCAACGGGGCCAGGACGCCTGCCAAGGGTGGCACCACAGGGAGAGCCTGGCTGCATCAGCGCACGGGGCCCCATGGGCAGGCAGGTGCCCACTGCAGCCAGGCTGGGCACACAACACCACCTGGGTGGGCGTGCAGGATCCAGCTCGCTCGCAGTCTTAGTAGGCTCTGGCCTCTGTGACAAACACCACAGACCAGGAGGCTCAAACAACAGTTTATTGTCCCCGTCCTGGAGTCGGAGTTCCAAGATCCAGGTGTGGGCAGGGCTGGCTCCTCCCGAGGCCTGTCTCCCAGGCGCGTGGACGCCGTGCTCTCCCTGTGTCCTCACACAGTCGCCCTCCGTGCGTGTCTGTGTCCTGATCTCCTCCTCTCTTGGGGACACGGGTCAGACTGCATGGGGGCCACCCCAGTGACCCTGTTCTACCTTAATCAACTCTCCAAAGGCCCCGTCTCCATATACGCACGTCTTGAGGTGCTGCGGGCTAGAGCTCCAACATATGAATTTGGGGGACATGACAAAGTCCCTGTCACCAACATTTCCCGGGAGCTCTGTGCTGGGCACCGAGCAGCCCAGGGTCCATGCGCGGTCACCTTTAGTGAAGACCAGACGTCAGCTCCTCTCGGCTGAGTCCCCAAAGTGCGAGTTCATGTTGGCCCCAGGATGACAGGGCAGAGGGTGTCCAGGCACTGACGGTGTCTGAAATCCGGGGCTCTGCAGCCCCCTCGCTCCCCGCGGGGCTTCCTAGGCCCTTGTTTCAGTTCTCAGACGGAGCCCCGCCCCGAGAGCCAGAGCAACCGCTAGCAAATGCAATTTCAGCGGGCTTCCCCTGCTGGTTGCGGCCCACACTGCTCCGCTCTGCCCCCCACCGCGCACGAGTGGGCCGCCGCAGGCACGGGCGCAGAGCAAGGGAACAGCGCCTGGGGGGCCACGCAGGCCGTGGCCGTGGTCCCTGCTCTCCTTCATTGCCCCTCCCAGCGCGTGGGCTGCTGGTGGGAAGCCTGAGCACAGCTGGGAGGCCCGTTTCCGCCTTGGCCTCCTTGTGAACCAGGTCCCCCTCCCCCCAGCCTCCCTGGGGCCTCACTGGGGTGAGCCCCACTAGCTCCAGGCGGGCTAGTGCACGGGCTCTGCTGCCCTGGCACTAAGTTCTGGGGGACGGTGTCCCTCTCGTTTCCCAGCAAAGCCAGGAAGCAGCCATCCATCCGTGTGCTCTGGAGGAGACCCCCAAGAAGGGTTCAGTTGGGCTTTGGACAGAAAACCTGAGAAAGGCAGCATTCCTCGAAGGAGAAAGGAGGGGACAGAGTCCCCACAACCCACCGAACCGTGCACACGCACAAGTGTGGCCTGCGCCCACCCGAGGGGCCGGGTGCCCAGACACCTGTGAAGTCCCCCTGGAAAGCCTCTCCTGTAAGCCCAGCAGGGAGGTGCTGGGGGCCCCCTGGGATGGCCTGCCCACCTGTGAGCAACTACAGTGTTCAAGTCACATTTCCAGAACTTTCTTCCTTTGTGTCTTCTAAGAAAGTCACTTGTTGTCACTCCTGGGGGTAGGAGAGGAGGGGATGGTGGCCCTCTTCAAATATCAGAAACTCTGCCCAGTGTGGGAGGGGACAGATGGGTCCTCAGCGCCTGGCAGAGCCAGGCGTCTGCAAAGCAATCAGCACGGGAGAGGAGGGAGCCCAGGACCAGCTGCCTGCAGGGGATGCTCCACCAGCCTCCCCTAGAAGGCGCATGGGGTGGGTGCAGAATACACGGGCAGCTAATGTGCAGAGCCTGGGTGAGGCCCCACGGCAGAGGAGCCAGGGCAGGTGTGGCTCCAGCAGGGCGCTCGGACTGGCCAGCCGTTCAGTCTACTGCCCTCCACAACCGAGCCCGTGCCTGCTATGGCACAGAATGGACAGGTGTGGAGAGGCAACACAAGAGGGGGCTGTGGGAGGTGTCCCCAGATGGTGCAGCCCCATGATTAGGTGACCTGCCTCCTGGCAGGGTTCGCTCATCAAGTATTTCCTGCATCTGTGTGTCCCAGGCCTGTTCTCGGTCTGGTGGACCTCCAGCCCCCTTCTCACACAGAGAAGGCAAAAGCCAAATCAGCAGCAAGAACCAGGCTGGCTGGGGCAGGCACCTATGGTGCTGGGGAGCAATGGGCCAGGCCACGACAGGTAGGCTCGGCACACCTGCTCCACGTGCCCCGGGACATCACGGAAAAAGTCGAAGCAAGGGAATTATGTGGCCAGGTTTATGTTTTTAAAAAGATCCAGCTGGCTGCTGGGTGGAGAACTCACTGGGCACGGAGGCCAGAGCTTGGTAAGATGAGGCGTACTGAGGAGGGAACCAAGGGGCCCACTTTGGCCCTGAGGGTGGCACATGCATGGCCGCACCTGCTTCTCGGCCAAATGCTGCCCCCGGCGTTCCGAGGGGGTGCAGCCTTTCTTCCTGGCACCAGCCATCTGCCCGGGTGCAGCACAGAGCCCCCAAGCTGTTTCTCTCTTCGGGGTCCAGCTCTGCCAGGGGAGTATGGCAGTGGGCCGGCGGGCGAGGACTTGCAAGGGGGTGATGCCAACGCCGGCCACGGAAGGAAGTTTTCTAAGAAGGGAAGTGGGGCAGGCTGGGGCAAGCTCAGGGCCAGTACCCGCTGGTCAGAGTGGGGGTCCTAGAGCAGATGAGCAGGAGTGCGGGTCAGGGCAGGAAGTGATGCCCCAGGGGACCAATCTTTCAGAGGAATGGCTCGGCCGAGGGTCTGGGTGACTTGGGTGGCAAGCAGGACTAGTGCTGGCTGGCCAGGAACCACGGTGGATGGTTTCGATGGCTGAGCCACGAAGAGGAAGCAGCGAAGGGGCGGGCCATGTTCGGACAGAAGGTGTCAGAAAGAGATCTGTCAAGCAAGAGCTTTACCTCCCTGTGGGACTCCAGTCAACACAGGCATATGCACCCATGCCCCGGCCGGCCACAGGGACTCCTGGGAGCAGGGCCCTTCCTCCTGCTCCCTCCTGCTCAGCGCCCAGCTGTCCACGCACCCCCGCCCACTCTCCGGGATGCCCCAGGCCACGACCGACACCCCCTCAACCTCCTCCAGCTCAGAGGCCCTGCCCGGGTGTGCAGGGCCGGGCAGAACTGAATCGGGGAACATGAGGTGGGGGGTCGGGACGTGACCCTGAGATATTGCAATAGCCCTTCCTTGCCCAGCTCGGAACAGGTCTGCAACCCCACCTGTGAGCCCAGAGGCCAGGGCTAGGATGTTTATGCACACACACACTCCGCCCTCCCAACCGTTTCCCAAGAAGGGATCCAGCCTGAAGGAAAATTCTAGTAACCAGCTTTCTAGGAAGTGGTGGGAGGTGGGGTGGGGAGGACAATCTCCAGGAAGGACAGGGCTCAGGGAGCAGCTGGCCAAGGGCAGTACGTTGCTGGAACATTCTGCTGCCAGGGAGCAGGCAGGCCCTGGGTATCCTTGCTCAGACGGCACCCTTAGTGCTGGCCTTCTCTGCCCTCTGACCCCGAACGTCCTGAGGGCCTGACGCCTGTGTCCACCCCCAGCCAGGCTGCGCCATGGGCTGCTTCCCACCTGCCTGGACCAGCAGGAAAAGCGTTGGTGCCAAGGAGACTTTGCCAAGAAAGAACGGCTTCATGGGCCCATTCTCGTCCCTCCTGTCACACCAACGCTGTCAGGGCGTGCCGGCCACAGCCCCCAGGGCTGAGAAGTGCAGGGCGGCGGTGGGGGGAGGCTGGGGAGCGGGGGTTAGTCTCAGCAGGTTTTGTTTCAGGAGTGTAAACTCTGTGACAAGGTGACCTCCCTTTACTGGCCTGACCTCCCCAAAACGACATTCCCCCACAACGTGGTATTACTGTATGGTACACAGCCTACGTGGGCCCAATAATTATCCCCCAAGACTCAGCCTCCCCAGAGCAGTCACTGGCCACGTTATAAAATGTAGCTCAGACATTGTCAGAGGCAGGAAGGAAAGGGGGACCCCAGCAGGAGACCGAATGCTGAGCCCAGAGTCCCGTCTTGTTTCCCCGACTTCCCTCGGGACATCCTCCCCCCAGAGCCGCCGCAGGCCAGCAGTACCACCAGCAGAGTGTGGCTGGGGGGCCCAGCCACCCCGGCCAGCCTCCCAGGAACCTGCGTCAGGACAGGCTCGTCCAGCAGCATGACCTGCCTCTGCTGGGCCCCATGTGCAGGAACGTCTGGGTCCCTACCTCCCATCTCTCATGCTGGAGGCGTGCTCAGGAAATCCAGATTGTAACAGGAGCCCAGACTAAATACAATCAGGAAAAAATGAATCCTAGGACCAAAACCATGGGACATGATTCAAAGTCAAAAGCGAAACTTGATTTGGGTTGGAACCCGCACCTGGGGTTTTTCTCGGGGGCCCTGCCCCCGCCCGCCACGCTCCTCCAGCAGTTGATGATATTGTAAGGGTGAACCATGGTGGGATTGCGGAAGGACGCGGGCCCACGGAGGCCTGTCACTGTGGGAACATGCTGTCCTCTGCGATGCAGTACCAGCCCAGGACCCCATTCTCCCTGCCTTCCGCAGCTCTGCTGGCCACGCCTCAGCGTGGCCGGCGCTATCTGGTTCCTCCTGCCTGAGAAGGGAGGGCTGCTGCCCGCTGTGAGGTGGCCGGCCAGCCGCAGGTCTGGGGCCACGAGACAGGCCTGCTGTTTGGTCCAGTACCTGTTTGCAGACTGCTGCGATGGGTAATGTGATCCCCACCCCTGGAAAGATACTACCTGCAGGTCTGTAAACAACAGAAACAGGATGAAATGTGGTGGGTGTTCTTGGTGTGCACATCCTTTGGTCCCTAGGAACCCCGAAGCACAAGTGTGGCCCCTCCCCCCAGCCAGCAGCTCAGGCCGTGCTGCCTGGCAGTCTGTTCTGGAAGAGGAGCGTCCGGGAGCCACCACCCCCTCCCCGCCCCCCAGCTGGAGTGGTAGCCCCGAGCCCTCCCAGCACAGGAACACAGCTTCCTTCTGTTGAAGGTGGAGGCTGCCTCTCCGGAGCAGGGCAGAGCGTAGCCCAGAGCTCAGGGCTCCAGAAGAGGAAGCACGTGCTGAGCAGGGCAGGGGCTGCGAATGAGTGGGAAAGCGAAGCCATCCGGCCGCCTGAAGTGCCGCTGTGCCAGCCCCGTGGGCTCCGCCAGCCTGTCATCTCTGGCCCGGGGATTAACATCGGCGCAGATGATGTGTCTTGGCCCAGAATCCGTGTGACTAATTGCTCAACAAACAGGAAGGCTTTTCACCTGCCCAGAGCTCAGTCAGGGTTTCCTACCAGATGATAGCAATAGGAGCCCCAGAGTACAGGCAGTTTTGTTCCTTGCCGGGAGTCTCTCGTGCTGATGACGTCACCAGGGCATAAGGCAGTGCCCGGTCTGGCTGGGTGCTGGTCAGCAGGCATCTGGGCCTCGAAGACAGGGATGCTCAACCCAAAGCCGGGGCGCTGGCCTGAAGAAGAGGGCTTCTCTCCTGGAAATTTCCAGGAAGGGGATTTTTTCCAGCACAGCAGAAAAAACAAGATAAGGTCATAGGACAATGGGGAGGAGAGGGAGCCGCAGAGAGGGTTCTCCTCAGGTCCCCAATCATTCTGTTGCTGGCTTTTTGTTTTTTAAAGATTTTTATTTATTTGAGAGAGCATGCACACGCGCAAGTGCGAGCAGGGAGGGGCAGAAGGGGAGGGAGAGAGAACCTGAAGCCAACTCTGTATTGAGCACAGAGCCTGACATGGGACTCAATCCCATGACCCTGAGACCATGACCTGAGCCAAAACCAAGAGTTGGACGCTGAACCAACGGAGCCACCCAGGCCCCCCTGTTGCTTGTTTTAAGAGCAAATGCAAGCCTGACCTGAGCCAGCCCCGGATGAGGAGGGAGTTTCAGGTTTGTCCTGCCAGGCTCAGAGACAGCTTCTGTCACCTGTCACCATCTCCCTAGGCCTAACCAAATGTCGGACCACAAGTACACTTGGCAGATACACATCCCCAGAAATGTGGGATGTAAGTGCCTTCGGTGTCATTGGGAGTCCTGCACCCACACAAACCCCAGACTCCATCCAACATGGGGGCTCAAGATGAGGGGGAAAGGAGGAGACACGTGCACTTCGAACCCTAGTCCAGCCCCCTCAGTGGGGGGCCATGTTTGCCCAGGAAAACCTTACTATGGACTTCCTTAGCTCCGTGCATGAAAGCTGGAACACAGCATCAGACAGGAAATGATCACCCCTTTGTGACCAGTCTCTCCTGTCAAGACACAGGTCAGGAAAGGCAGCGCCAGGCCAGCCTCACGAGCAGTCCTCAGTGACCCAGCCCTCTCCTCCCCGCTGTTTGCTTGACAATGCAGCCAAGCCCATGTCCTAGAGGACGATCTCCCACGATGCTGCTGCTTCTGGATTTTTACTCTTCCATGTGCTCCCCTTGCCCTCCTAGGAAGAAATCTACACACGGAGGCTTGGGTTTTCTTACTTGTAGCCAAACCGCCACCAGGGTTTCACAGGCTTAGAGAACAGACGTAACAGGGTAACCAGCTGGACGAGAGCCGAGACACAGGCTCAGCGGTGAAGGCACGACAGACACCCCCCCACGCGCACGCCCGCTCACACACGACAGACACCCCCCCACACGCCCGCTCACACACGACAGACACCCCCCCACACACACAC